TGAACCGCTGGTCTAAACACAAGCTCAGCCACCAGCAAAATGATGAAGCAGGTCTGGGCACAGTCGAGGAAGAAGAAGAGTGTCTCCCTAAGGACTGGAGCAGTGAGGTGGAAATCTTGTGTCCTAAGCTGCCTCTGCTTCCCAGAACTGGGTTAGTATTGGCAGAGACTTACGGATAGCATCCAGGTTGTGGGGCACGGCTCCCCTAAGAGAAAGCACTGCTGTGCTGGCAACATCAGCCAAACATCTAGCACCAGCATGCCTAAATGCAGCCTGGGTGCTCGGCCCGGTGTGGTGCTGCTGTCTCAGAGCCATGCCCAGGGCAGCTCTTTCCTCATATTCCACTGTTAATTTTGGGTATGTTGGAGCTAGTGCTAGGATGGGGGTGTGCTGCAGTTTCTTCTTTGTCCTACGGGAAGTAACTTGCACTTGCAAAGGAGCTAGCAGCCAATCTGTCTCTTCGCCTGCTGTTGGGCTTCCTCAGGGAGATTCAGAGGAAACATCTCTTGACGTCTCTTGGTTGATGTGTCTGTTCTGATACCAGCCACAATCTTGGTCAAAGCTCTGTGTGTCCAGGTACTATACAAATGTACACCTAATTACCTCTTTTCTTCTAACAGGGAGGGATATTCAGAAAAATGTGTCATGAACAACTACTTTGGAATTGGGTTAGATGCAAAAATTTCACTCGAATTTAATAACAAGCGAGAAGAGCACCCTGAAAAGTGCAGGTAATCGAATTGTCAAAAACAGAGCCAAGACATTTCCATTATTTTCTTTTCCTTATCTCTCTATTTGAATTTCTTAACTTTTTCTCATCCTACAAATACAAGTGGTAATAATGTGTGTATTTCAATATGTGAATCTTGTTTTACCTGTTTTCAGAAGTCGGACGAAAAACATGATGTGGTATGGAGTTCTTGGCACAAAAGAGCTACTGCAGAGAACTTACAAGAACTTAGAACAAAAAGTTCAACTTGAGGTAAATTTTCTTTATGGCCAGAATGAGTATTTTTGCTTCCGCAATGTGTAGTGAAGAATTTGGGCTTCCTCTTGAAACCTCTTAGAGTTCTTATGTCAACCCAAGCTGACCTCAAAGGCACTGTGTAAAAATGTGCTATGTAAGAGGTGGTTCCCCAGGTGGTTTCTTGGAGTAAAATGTCAGTCCTTAAATATCCCAAAATACCCAGTATAATGTTTCTTGTAATTACTGGGTTTTTTTCAAAAATTTTCTTGTATAGATAAGATATGTTTCTTAATGTTCACTGCATTAAAGGGGGAGACCAGGTTTTAAGGAGAATAACAGAAATGATGAGGAAGATTAAGGAGTCTTAATCCTTCAGGTTCATTTTAAACTATTTGAAAGCTTGATTACACATATGCAGAGAGCACACAGATGATGTTAGTAAAAAATTCCTGACGGAAGAGAGGAGATTCTGAATGTGCATCACAAGAAGCCCAGCTACACCTATTGAGACTTTCTCTAATAGGTGGTTGAGACAGTCACACAAAAGAAGTAGGGTATTATTACAGCAACAACAAATGCAGTGTAAATTATCTAAAGATGGTTACTTTTTGTCTTTCAAGTTCTAACATAAAATCTAAGTCTTCTTCACGATACTGGGAACTTAAAGAAGATACAAATGATTACCAAATGCAAAAGAGGACTATGGGATATTTACGGTTGTTCTCACCCAAAGAATATCTAGGCTGGATTTTGACCAAGAACATACGTAATTTCTCTTTTTACTTCATGCTAACCATTTCATACGGAAGTTCATGATATTTATATGAAGATAACTTGTTAAGAATAATTTTAAGTTACTGGAACTCTTTCTCACTCCTCTGAGATTAAGGAAGATCTTGTCTGGTAGCGGCAGATTGCTGTTATCTAAAGACGGAGTAATTATCAAGGAATTATGCAGTAGTTAGTGAATATAATGACAGGAAAGAACATTATGTATGCTGCAGATAGAATTCTAATTTAAGGATCTTTTGAATAAGATTCAAATAAGATTCAATAAGGCATTCAAACCTGACCTTTCCATAATTATTTTTGAATATTTCTGGAAGTAAACCAGCAAGTAGAAATTTCATATTTAGTATTTCCTTGCATAATATTAGCCTTATGCTAAAATGTGTGATGAGGTGCACGGTATTGGAAAATTAAAAATATCAATTTCAGGAATTGGAGGCAGACCTCTACTATAATACAAATGGCTGTGCAGCATCTATTAATATCACAGCATATTTTGGATACTGTCACATTTTGATTAAAATGTTAAATTCTGTCTTGTTGCTGAGATTAAATCATAAAAAGAGAGCACTAAGCACATTCTGGAAATAATTTTGCATCTCTTTCTCCCGCTAATAAAATTGCTACAGATTTTGTCCTTATTTCCTGAGGATTTCTATTTCATTTGTATGATTTTAAGATCCTTCTGCGGGACTGGTAACTTGCGGTAATCTAGCAATCTTCTTTAAAGCCAACTTTACCTGCAAATTCATGATCCCCAAAGTGACACCTGAATCCAGCATTTATGACCTTGTATTTCCAACTTGCTTCAAATCCACACTTGTGGCACTGCTGCAGGACTGCACTTTTGACTCCCAGTTGAATGGTTTGAGATCACTGGGCTCACCTCTGCAGGCAGTTGTACTGCCGTAAGTCAAGAGTGATTTCACTGAAGTCTGTAAATTTACTCTTGGCCATAAGTAGGGTGAGATTGACCTATGTCATCCCATGATCGTGTTGAGTAGGACTTGGAGTTGCTTATGGGTTTTGGAGGATAAAGCGGTAAGAAAGAGGGAATAAATTGTTGGTCATAGGAGTGACCTCTTACCTGCAAAATCAACAACTCTAGCCACGGCCAGGGTAACAACTGTGGGGTCATTGCTAGATTTGTCTTTGCACTTTTGGGAGGAGAATGAGTTATTTTTGCAGGAAGGCAAGTATACGAGTGCTAACAACACTTACATTTAACTACATGTTTGTGGCTACGCCAGAAATATTCTTGGATCCCCCCCCCCGCTTAATAGACTTAATGTGAAATTGTGAAAATGTTTCTTTGAAGAGTCATCAGACACCTCTGCTGTAGATAGTAGTGTTTTTCCAGCTCTGCAAAAACTGGTGCTAAGATTGGGAAGAAGAGGTTTGTATTAGAGCTGCTTCACAACATGGATGGAATAGGCTTGTGTCAACCTATTAATGACTCCATCCTCCCCTGCCAGCTCTGTCAAATCTTCATGTATTAAAAACGGCTGATTACTTTTATCACATTATTTTTATCCTGAATGAGCTTTTCTCCATTACAGTGCGATGGACAGTACATCCCCCTTCCAAGTCTGCAGGGCATAGCTGTGCTAAACATTCCCAGCTACGCTGGTGGGACTAATTTCTGGGGTGGAACCAAAGAAGATGATGTGAGTAACATTAAAGACAAGTAACCTTCTGGGTGAAACCAGCAATACATACCATGAACTGCTCTTCTCATTTAATTTTAATAGTAGTAGCGTATAGTTTGGATAGCAAGTCTTATTCAGGGAGGCTGTTTGAGTTTAAACTGTATTGTCTTGTATTTGATTTTTTAATTGAAAATATATCCCATGATTTTTCACTGTCTATTTCCTTCTGTTTCGTCCATTCCAGCAAAATGTTCATAATAAGGCTTAATTATTTTTTTAAAAAATGGCTCTATGCGATAGTATTTTTAGAAACTAATTTTATAAACAGAGACTCAAATAGTTTCTCTCTATATTGTTTTACAAACTCCTGTAAATAAGGTTTCTCAAAGCATAGATTCCTCTGTTTGCTATATTCTAACAATAAACAATGCTGACAAGGATAATCACTTATGGTTTATACTTGAATTTTCCTCCTGTTCTTCAAACAGCTTTGGATGAAGGGATGGTGATTCAGAAAATGGGGAGTGATGCATTTAGTGATTGATGATTTAGTGGGGGTAGTAATCTGTTTTTTACATATTATTTTTAATGAGCTTCTAAAATATTTTAAGATATCTTTTTTCCCTTCTTCCTCACATCTCCTAAGAAACGTTATACTACTCGGATACCTAAATGTCTTACAACTTGGAGCTGCGATCCACTTCACGCGCAGTGCAACAATTGTAATTACTGGCAGATTATCCTAATTCTGCATGTCCTGATTTAGTGTGTGCAAGGTCTGAATCACCTAAAACTGTAGTTGCAAGTTAGCTTGTGATTTTAATGTAGACAATCCAGGACTTTTTTTTCCAAAATGCTTTTGGTTTCTCTGTGAGTTATTGTCCTTTGCTTATATATATATATATACACACACACACATATAAAAGTCACAAAAAATATTTAAACACGTTTCAATGTCCTGTCCTCATTTTTGGTATATGTCAGAGGATGGCAGTTGTGTTTATATTTGGCTATGGATATCTAAATTTTTTATATACTCCATGTTCATATTCATAACTTGAAAGCATCTCTAACGTCTGCTCAGCTCCTGTTCAGGAGTTTATTTTTCTCCCTGTACTGCCTCGCTGAGAGAGATCTGTCCTAGCTGTCATACTGGTGTACAGCAAATGTGTGTGTCTTGGAGGAGTTTTACTGATATCCTTAGTCTTCTGGTGATCAGATGTGCCAGCAAAGTGACATGTTTGTTGTGGACAGAGTTAGGAGCATAATTCACTGCTTTAGTGCAGTCTTGAGTGACTGATCATCAGAGGTGGTGGTGGTGGTCTGAAGTGCTGCTGGTTCTGCTTATCTGGACACAAAAAAGATGTTGCCTTGACAGCTGCAAATATTCCTGAAACATTATCGGTGAGACAAGCAGGGCAGCCGCACGCCGACCGACTTGAGCGGGGCTTGTTTAGGCATGCTTTTTTGGTGTCCAGAAGACAGGCTGAAAACATGACCTGCAACAGGAAAGGAGGGAATTGTTTCTTGAACGTTGATCCATAGAGATTTGTTTGCCTTTATTTAAAAAAAAAAGTATGGTTGGTTTTCAGTAAAGATATGTTTTACTGGTGGAGAGACACAGGAGACTGGGTTGTGGTTTGCCCATCCTTTTGCTAAAATTGAAGCACAAAATAAATGAAATTTTACAACTACTTTTTCTTAATCCATGCACAACTGGCCCTGTAGATGTCAGTTATACTTGTCAAAGCTGGATCAAGGACTCTCCATGCTTTTTACCTTGGAATAAAAAAATCCCTGTCTTTGCTCTTTTCAAGACGTTCACATTCCCATGTGAAAAATGGAAGTTTCCATGGAAATTGGAAAAATTCAGATGGAGAAACCTTTTGCTTCAAAACAATCTAGACTGAGTAAAATTGCACTTTTGTTCTTTGACACTCATCTGCTCAAGACATACCTGTGCAATCCTACAATGCTCTGAAGGGAAGTGCCACCTGGATGTGGCACTAAACGATGGCATATGTGCTGTGTAGCTCATTCCATGCTGCTGTGCAGCCCTTTCCCTCAGAAGCCCTCCTCAGCCTCCTGGCCAAAGCCACCGCTCACTGCACTGAGGTGAAGGCTCCCGCTGGCCTGATGGGCAGCAGGGACCGAAGCCCCTCACCCTGTTCCCCATCCTCTCCCTCCCTGAGCCTTTGCTGCAGACACTATCTGGATTACAGAGTCCTGGATCTGCACCCTCTTATTCTTCACCTCCAGGAAATCCTCTGTCAGGTGCCTCTGATGCAGCCTACTCTGCCCACGGTGCCAACTGAGGTATGCCGAGTACCGCTCAGAGAGGGATCTCTCTACCCGTTAAACTCTTACTGGAGTGATTTCTCCTGCTGTTTTTTCTCCCTCGTTAGTCCCTATTGCTTATCAGGATGAAATGGTCAAGCTTCAAGTGACCTTAGTATGGTGCCTCCTGCCAGACCCAGTTGAACTCCAGCCTAAGACTTGTCCTGTGGCATGGCTGAATTCCCCTGCAGGACACCAGGTGGCAATGGCACACACAAGACTTCGTGCACTTTGTGTAAGCTCATGGAAATTCAACGTCTTGGCTGGATATCAGGACGTTTGTTCCATACAGAAGCGGTTTTCATATTTACAGCAGATAATTGTATAGAGTGCAAACAACAACAGTATGAAAGCTGTGTTTAACAAAGCCAAGCAAGGGCTCGGATGTTGGTTTCAAGAGAATTCAGACTATAAAAAGATACGCACTTCTGAGAAGAAGACCAGCATTGTTCCTTTTAGCTTCAAGAACCTCTTAGATATTAAGTACATTAACCAAGCGGAGATTTGAATTGGCCTTTCATCTTGCCTTGAAAAACGTTTCTTAGTCTGCATGCTGAAACATGCCATCCTTCCTATATAAGGACATGCCTCGTCATTCAGATATTTGAAATGCTATTAGCATTGCTGTTTTAAAATAATATTTGCCTACTGTCTACGGTATCTCACACCTATGACTTTTGAGAGAAAGTGTAGTTATTCTACAGTAAATAATTTAGAGCATTTAAACATTGAAAACGAATCTGTAAATGAATTTGTGTTTCACTGAACATGCAATCTAAGCACTCGATTTACCACCAAAAATGGAATATTTTCTTTTCCTTTCAGATATTTGGGGCTCCATCGTTCGATGATAAAATCTTAGAAGTTGTTGCAGTATTTGGCAGCATGCAGATGGCAGTTTCAAGAGTCATCAAACTGCAGCACCACAGGATAGCTCAGGTTTGTTTCTTACTTGAAAGCACACAACATGGTTCGCAGCAGTTGGGGATGCTGGCAAGTAGCAGTACTCTTGATGACCACCACCCTGTACATTAATAAAGCGCTGACATCATTGTTTTAATTTTAAGGGGTAAGAAATTGTCTTCAATGATGAATGAAGTACAAAAGTGCTTCATCCTTGAGACAAACCTGGAGGGAAGCCACAGCTCCTAGTAATCAACATATTTCAGGTGGCCCATCAATTTCATTAGTATTTATTGCTCTGTAAAATAACATGTTTGTTCTTTTCCAGTGTCGGTCAGTAAAGATCACCATACTTGGTGATGAAGGGGTTCCAGTGCAAGTCGATGGAGAGGCCTGGATCCAGCCCCCGGGAGTGATTAAGATCATACATAAAAACAGAGCTCAGATGTTAACACGAGACAGAGTATGTTGCAGAGAGTGTGTTATGAGATACTAACATTGTTTCTGTAATAATTTGATTCAGTTACAACATGAACAAAACAGTGCTTATAAAAATGTTTTATAACTATCTATATAACTTAGATGATTACTTACAGTTGCAGAATTTCTATAATAAGCCAGATAGGGAATTGTTCTTTTGTATAAGTGACACAGCTCTTTGTTAGCTTTTATCAATTTTATTAGTGCTATTCCTGTATTCTTATTAATATATAGTAAGAAGAAGAATGGTCAAAATTCATTCTTTCTTTCTTTCTTTCTTTCTTCCTTTCTTTTTCTTTTTTCTTTCTTTTTCTTTCTTTCTATCTCTTTCTATCTCTTTCTTTCTGTCTTCCTGTCTTTCTTTCTCTTTCTCTCTCTCCTTCTTTCTTCCTTTCTTTTTCTTCTTCTCCTTCTTCTCCCCTAGGTGTAATATACACAATCACATACTAGGAGTTCTGGCACAGTTGCATAAATAGCAAAGTTCTATAGTGTCCATTTTTCAGAATAACTTTCTGCAGATTTCTTTCCTGTCTCGCTCTGTTCTACTAATCCTCCCTCTCCCGCACGACCCAGTCTCAGACAGAAGAGACACAAGCAGAACCTAGTCACAAAGCCACTGGAGAGTTCACGCTTGTCTAGGATTACTGTGTGAAAGGCGTAACTGCCCCTCAGTTCTCCATCCACTAACTGGATGGTGAATTTAGGGTACAGTTAATGGCATTTGAACTCTACTTTAGTACATTTGTTACTTTTTTCCACCATTTTTTAGGTTTGAATCTTGTATTACTTTCAGATTTGGATCTTACTATCCATACTTGTATTATCACTGTCTTTGTGTTCTTATTGTTTTGAAGATGCTTATTGAGGATAAAGGAGAGAGAGAAAGTGAGCTTTCAGAAGTGCGAGGAAATGGACGAGAGGAAATAGGACGAGAGGAAATGGCCTCAAG